TATGGTCAATGATAAAAACTGTATATTGCAAAGGACAAAGTCACAACGCCGAGGAAAGACGGAGTCATTTATGCCCACATAGATTATGCAGACTTGAATGAGATAGCTTTTCTTTTCAAAAAGAGCACCACGGGTGACTCTACCACCGTTTCCAGTTTGTTCAGGAAAACTCTGAGGGCATGAAAGGATAACGTGGCTGCATTTGACCATGTGTCCTTCCCTGTCCGATAACTTTCCAAACCTCCTGGAAAGAGCTTTCTCTGTTCTACATATTCGTGTAGCTTACTCGCTAGTATCTTCTCCAGCACTTTGCCAGGTGCATTTTGTAGAGTAGTGCTCATAAGGAATGTTCGCCCAATGTTGGATACTATGTCTGTGACACCAGCTCAACTACGTGACTTGTCAGTCAAGTCAAAAGAAGCACTTTTTAGTCGTCTTTCAGATCAATATAGGAGACATTACAAGCAACTGTTTCATCGGAACAGTCAGTAAAGATACCTCAGGATATCTGCTCCAAGGAGGATGGTCGACACAGAAGCATGGCCAATGTACAGCGATGTCAACCATGATAACATGTGTTTGCGGAGTCACACATAGTCAAGTGTGACTGAAGGAGGCTAGGGCAAAAAATGTAGAACTCAACGACGTGAGCAGGTACAGCAGGAACCTGCCGACATTCAGTGAATGTTCCCCTTTTCAACAATTGTTTCTACCCGTTTACTTCCTAAACACTCTCGGGGGCAGTAATAAGTCAGGTTGTAACTCCTAGGACTCAGACTTCTGCTGCGCTGATCCGACAAGACGCTTATGGTAATTACACAAGGCACTGAGGTTTGGGAAGAGTCGATATTGTAGCAAATTAACCGCCTATCCTCACCGACAGAGTGACAACTAGAAGACTGGTTCGTCAGATAGTCGTTTGTAAGACAGATTTTAGCAACTGGTAGTAGCACCGTCAGACTTTCTTCGGACAATGTTTGGATTAAGGAATTTACAAGTTCTTTCCCACTAGGGTTTAAGACCAGTCTACTAAGGCCTGTCCTCCACGTCATGCCTATTCGAGAGGTCGACCATGCAGAAAACAGACTACCGAAAAAGGAGAAATGCTAAAAGAGGTAAAAATGAAGTTAACAGATGGGTTCATTCAAAAGGTCTCTCCGTGCCCTGGCGCTGCAAGGAATTCCAGGAGTATGTAAAAGAAGAAGAAGAAGATTTAATAGGTCAATGTGCTGATGAAATGTCCGTAGTTATCATGTCGACCAAATTTAGTTTAGAATTCGAAGGTTTCTAGTTACTGATTAGAGAATCAACATCATGGTAGACTGGGTTGTCAGCAGTTCGTATGTCAGGATGTGCAATTCATCAATACGTGCTGGATTATCTGATCCCAATGAAGGTGAAATATATACATGTTAAATAAATGACCAGCCATTTTACGACACGACAATACAGTCATTTGTCTGTCACTTTTTTCTTTTTTCTCACTTTAATGCTTGTCTTTCTGATATTGTGGCGTCCCTTCAAGTAAATCAGAAAATTGCCAACGCAGTTTAGACTAAGGACCACGTTCTGAAAGCGTTGAATTATCGACTCTGTAGGTATTTGTTGCTCTAACAGTTTACTCTGCAAAATGAATGAAGCAATAAAAGTAGAACCATAACAGACAATGTACAGCAGACAGATCTTCAGTAAAGTTTTTGTTGTCTTGGTGATGCCATGCTTAGTACTGGATGTGACTTGACTAGGGCTCATCTGTCGGCGTCTGTTGGTGATCTGTACGATCCTGAGTCCAATTACAATACAGCCCGTGGTGACCAGACTGATTGGGATGACACCTGTAAGATAATTCCCTATTTGGTCAACCAGCTGTTTCACTCCGCTTCTCTCATGGGCTACCCGCATATCAGTAATGACCATTTCCCCCACAACGATACCATCTATCACAAAATACGTTAGTTGATAACTTAGCAGCACTTCATACAGACAACAGATTCCAACTATAACATAGAGACAAGACAGGACAATGACTGTACACCGGGGTGTTAAGATCGCATACGCTTTGAACGGATAACATATGGCTAATATACGTTCACCTGTTATTAGAACAGGAATGATCACAGATGAGAATGATCCTATATCGTTAGCACAGGAACAAATCATGAACAATACAAAACAGATGGAATTAAGAGTTTCAGAGAACATGTACCCCTGATGTTCGGCGTACACTTGAATTGGGCCATTGTTGATGCCAAACAAGAACAGACAATCGGAGACAGCCAAAGACAAGAGAATGATATTGAACAATTTCCGGAATCCCTGTCGAGTCAGAATGACAATGTTGATGTTATTCCCCAATATCCCAATCACGCCGATGCAAGGATAGAGTACGTGATAACATATGCGACTTATGAGGTCATAAAGCTCCCAACTGATAAATAGAACAGGTATCATTTCGGTTGTAAGCGACAACAGCACTGTATTGTTAGCTGACATGTTCAAATGTGTATGTTGATGTTCACATCGCCGTATACTGTCTTTGACACATCCGTTGCTTACCATTGTTCAGTGATGAAGACGCCACTTGAAACCGGAACTACAAGTAATACATGGCGGCCAAGTTTATGTGTGTTTCTTGTCTGGTGATGTGAGCATACTATTACGTCAGTAGGTGTATGTAAGTCTCACTCTGTAAAAAGAAAGTGAATTCTCCAATATTATATTGAGTCCATGGAATCCAGTAAACTAAGGACATAAATAGACACTTCCCAGCGAAGTTTGCTTCATCTGAACATTACACGAGCCATGAGGGTCAAGATGAGATGAACATTGCAGAAGCTGCTGATATTAAATTAAATGACCCGTTGACTTCACTGAGAACTCATATTGTTTGTGAAGCACTGTAGTAGCAGCAGTAGTTTTTATAGTTTTAGTGGTAGTAGTCGAAATAGTAGTAGTAGTAGTAGTAGAAGTAGTAGTAGTAGTAGTAGTAGTAGTAGTAGTAGTAGTAGTAGTAGTAGTAGTAGTAGTAGCAGCAGCAGCAGCAGCAGCAGGAGTAGTAGTAGTAGTAGTAGTAGTAGTAGTAGTAGTAGTAGTAGTCGAAATAGTAGTAGTAGTAGTAGTAGTAGTAGTAGTAGTAGTAGTAGTAGTAGTAGTAGTAGTAGTAGTAGTAGTCGAAATAGTAGTAGTAGTAGTAGTAGTAGTAGTAGTAGTAGTAGTAGTAGTAGTAGTAGTAGTAGTAGTAGTAGTAGTAGTAGTAGTAGCAGCAGCAGCAGCAGCAGGAGTAGTAGTAGTAGTAGTAGTAGTAGTAGTAGTAGTAGTAGTAGTAGTCGAAATAGTAGTAGTAGTAGTAGTAGTAGTAGTAGTAGTAGTAGTAGTAGTAGTAGTAGTAGTAGTAGTAGTAGTAGTAGTAGTACTAGTAGTAGCAGCAGCAGCAGCAGCAGCAGCAGCAGCAGCCGTTTTTTCAGTATTTGTAATAGCACTAGTAGTAGTAGTTGTTGTTGTAGAAGTAGTAGTCGTCGTAGCAGTAGTAGTTAATGTAGAAGTAGTAATAGTAATATTAGTAGTACTTGTACCAGTGGTAGTAGTAGTACTAGCAGTAGCAGCAGTAGAGCAGAAAGGTCTTAACTCTTATATGTGAAAACAGGTTTTAGTGCCGGCGAAATCCAGAAACAAGCACACACCGTAACAGTTTACGGCATTCACTGGAGACGCCAACACCAACAGTCGCTACCAGAATTACAATGTGTCTTTAAAGTCAGTGTCGATACGTTTGAGGTGTACATGCATACGCTATTTTAGCATGCTGAAAAGGAAAACAGCCAATACATGTTTATCTAAACCTTGTCATCTGCATATTGTCAATTGGTAGCAATGTAAACATCTCCTTGGGGTTGATTCAAGGACCTAATCCTACTTCCTACACTACAGAAAAAACCTGATCAAATTATACGCGCCAATCTCTGGAGGAAATTATATGCGCCAATCTCTGGAGGAAATTATATGCGCCAATCTCTGGAGGAAATTATATGCGCCAATCTCTGGAGGAAATTATATGCGCCAATTTGTGGAGGATTTCCTCCGTGAGTGAAATATATACAGAAGTCACCGCCTACTTGTTAACCCCACTGTCTTAGACACCCAAATATCCCCCTTTTAGCAAAACAATAAATGACCCATATCATCTTTATTGTTAATTTATGTTCTTAGTGCCAAACATGGACAAAAAATAGGAGATTAAAACAGACAATAGCTACATGTGATTAAATACGCACTTTCTGGAAGGTCACGAACAATACAAGAAGAGACAGGATTACGAATGCCAAAATTAGAAAGAGAGCCGGAATAAGACCATGTCCGTGTTGTATTGACAGACAAGGAATGAAATGGTTCATACATGAAGTGAGAATGCAGCCAGACCAAAATGTATATGCGACATTTTACAGCAGAATATATATTAGGAAGGTGAGAGGCAGACCAAGTGTGGGCTCTAGCGGACAGCGAAATAAGACCCACTGCCTCCTTAACAAGCATGTCGTAAGATTTAAATAATTAGGGGTTTCCTATGACGTCGGAGTGTATCGGCATGAGAACCATGAAACCAACAGTCTGGGTGCAAATAAGTCAGATCTGTAAACTTCTTCTTCTTCTTCTCGTTCACCAGCTGTAAACTCTGGCGGAAAGTTCTGGTTGTTCATACACTTCTGGACGGCAGTCCTGTTCCAGAACCTGAGTGTTGCGTGTGCATCCGTTTGACAGATCTGACTCATTTGTATGCAGACTGTTGGTTCCTTGCCTCTCAGGCAGATGCACTCCGACTTCGAAGGAAGCTCCCATTTAGTCGACTCTTACGACATGCTTTTGGGACAGCAGTGGGTCTATTCTTGTTTTCCCTATAATAGGGCCCCGAAACTCACACGGGGTAGATCTGTAAACTGAAGTGCAGGCAGAAAATCAAGTTCAGGAACAAGACTAAACTCCAGAAGTGTAGGAACAAGCAGAACTTTCCAACAAGGGTTACAGCCGGTGGAGGCAGAGAAGAAGAAGATTTTCCTGCCTGGAGATGACCAGTATACAGCGGAACCTCGTTAGACGTTCGTTTTGGTATACGTTCAACTTGGTATGCGTCAAGTGTAGACATGAAAACCATTACTTGGTATACGATTTTTGTTTGGAATACGACAGGGCTGGTCGCTACTGGGCTTACATGTCTCGAGACAAAGCGACGGATAAATGTCAATGACGTCGCTGAGAAGTATCACGTATATAAAACCCAAACATGTCGTAAAAGTATTGTCTGGAAAAGTCAGCTGCTTGTCATTTACAGGACGTTGCAGAACCAACTTCAGAATATTTCGGCTGTGGATCTTCTAAGCAAATTTACGTACAGTGGTTAACAACTGTCGTGAACGTTCAGCTCTCGATGCGCTGTCGGAACCAATGCAATGCGGTCAGCTGTCGAATCATTGGTAGCTGGGATCAACCCCGGTACCTCAGAATTATAAAACGCTCTACATATAGATATACATACTCATAAAGGAACTATTGTATGTGAGACATAGATCTTATCATACATGAGGGAATTACGGTAATATACAGATCTACATACTCATGAAGGAACTATTGTATGTAAGACAAAGATCTTCCCATACATGAGGGAATTACAGTAAGTAAGATATAGATCTACATACGAATGAAGGAACACGGCAGGTTAGATAAAGATCTACATACACATAAACGAAGTACTGTATGTAAGATACAAATCTAATTACACATAAAGAAAACTACGGTAAGTAAGATAAAGATCAACATACCCACGAAGGAACTACAGGAAGTGCGATATATATATATATATATATATATATATATATATATATATATATATATATATATATATACATAATCTGAATGAACTAAGGTCAATAAAATATAAATCTACATACACGTAAACGAACTAAGAAAGAAGGAACTACGGAAATTAAGATACCGATATACATACACCTGAAGGAACTACTTTAGGCAAGTTGTAGATCTGTATACACGTGGAAGAACTACGAAAAGTAAACTACATAATATATACACCTGAAGGATTTGGGTAAGATTATGCAGAATCTGAAGGAACTTCGGAAAGTAAGACATTGATATACATATAACTGAAGGAACTGAGGTAAGTAAGATATAGATATGCATAATCTAAAGAAACTTCGGAAAGCAAGAAATGTATATACATATAACTGAAGGAACTGAGGTAAGTAAGATATAGATATGCATAATCTGAAGGAACTTCGGAAAGTAAGACATTGAAATACATATAACTGAAGAAACTGAGGTAAGTAAGAAATGGACATGCATAACCTGAAGGAATTTCGGAAAGCAAGAAATGGATACACAAAAAACTGAAGAAACTGAGGTAAGTAAGATATAGATATGCATAATCTGAAGGAACTTCGGAAAGTAAGACATTGATATACATATAACTGAAGAAACTGAGGCTTATGCTTGAGAACGTTAACATCTGTTATGCTGTTGAACAATAACATTTGTGATCCTGTCGAATGTTAACATCCTTGATGCTGTAGAACGTTAACATATGTGAGGGTGTAGAACGTTAACTTTTGTGAGACTGTAGGACATAAACATTTTAATACTGTAGCACGTTAGCATCTGTAATACTGTAGAACGGTAAAATTTGACGGTGCAGAACGTTAACATCCTTGATGCTTCAGAACGGGAATATATGTGAAGATGTAGAACGTTAACTTTTGTGATGCTGTAGAACATTAATATCTTTTATATTGTAGATCGTTAACATCTGGGATACTATACAACACATGTATGATACCACAGAATGTCAACATCTCAGACATCATGGAAAGTTAACATCTCAGATAATTAGAAAACATAGCATCATTTATAGACGTGTAAATAAAGACAGTCGGAATAACATGAAAACAACCAAGACACCACAGGCAGTCGAACAGGGCAGTAACATGAGGGTGAAAGACAATGAAGTCATTAGTGCGATTGTTTCTATCTGATTTGCTTTATTTGAGCCAGAGCTGGGAGTGGTAGCATCATCTACAATGTTTGCTAGGAATGATGTGCTCACGTAGATGGACAATTGGACAGTACACATCATCTACAATGCATTTTGTTTATGATGTCCGCATGTAGATGAAATATTGGACAATTCACATCATCTCCAATGTATTTTGTTTATGATGTCTGCATGTAGATGAACTTTTGGACAATTCACATCATCTACAATGTATTTTGTATATGATGTCTGCATGTATATGAACTTTTGGACAATTCACATCATCTACAATGTATTTTGTTTATGATGTCTGCATGTAGATGAACTTTTGGACAATTCACGTCATCTACAATGTATTTTGTATATGATGTCTGCATGTAGATGAACTATTGGACAATTCACATCATCTACAATGTATTTTGTATATGATGTCAGCATGTAGATGAGCTATTGGACAATTTACATCATCTACAATGTATTTTGTTTATGATGTCAGCATGTAGATGAACTTTTGGACAATTCACAT